CTATCTGCCTGTCAGCCTGCGACACTGGCTTCAGTTTGTCAGTTATTACATTCCCAGGATAAAAACGACTTCCAGTAATTAAACTGTGATCTTCTGATAACAAAACAGGGCTGATGTCATCGATGACATACTTACTCATAGAAACAACCTGTCAACAGCTGCCTGCTGTGTTTTTGATCATTAGCTTAATTTTGTTGTAGATGAGTTGTTTCTGATGAGTGTGTGACCTTTCCTTTGAAACAGGTGCTACCCACCAAAAATAGTCACAGAAGAAAAAAACCCACCCCTAAATAAATTTTCTTCAATGGCTGTAGCTTGTTATCTGGCCTGATTTCATGTGCTTCTGTCAACTGAAGCATTCATTTTTAATTCTAAGGGCACCTGGAAGCTACATTCTCTTGCTAAGCATATATAGTAATTTCCAAAATAATTCTTAGATTTGTCAGTATCCATATTCTGATAATATTTTGAGGAAGGAGTGAGATGAGACATTATGGTATAGCCAAGCAGTGCAGCTGGTAATTTGAAAAAGATGCAAACAACATGGCAGCCAAGGTTTAGCTTGGTTTTTCTATGAAGAGAAATAAAAATGCAATCTCTCTCACTCACTTACCTTTCTCCTTGTTTCCTTTTACTGTCAGGAGAAACCAGTTCCTGGTACTCATGATTTCCCCCCCGTTGGTCATGCTGAGGCCATTAGCCAGGTGTCTACACACTGAATCAAATTTACTCCCTCTGCAATAAAGATATATTTGCAGCTTAGACATATTTTTGAAAAATTGCCCATAAAAGGTTTGTTCATCTTGAACCTGTGCTGCCGTGACTTGTGGGCCCGGGGAGATCAAGAAAGTAATTTTAGTTTAGTGTAATTATAAAACTTCAGATGGTTCCCTTGACTGGACTCCTTCAGCTCCATTGTTCACAATATTATGGACAAATGTAATACGGTTTCATGACCTATTCTCTAAAGGAAGACAAAGACAATGACACTGACACTTTAATAAACATCACTTTAATGTTATAATCTGCAAAATTGGTGTTGATCTCAATTTTATTGACTCCTTTTGGTGGTGATTGGTTATTCAACTGCCATTCAGTGGTATGACAGTGGCTCCTAAACCACAAAAATAAATAAGCAGGAGTTTTTGTTCAGGGCTGATATGACAAAAAAAAACAGAATGAAGAGATTTTCATTCTGTGCTGTACAGTGAAAATGTCCACACAGAGAGTAATGTTTAAATTTCACATATCAAACATATTTTGGAGTGTTTTTTTTCTGTACAAGACAATTGTAATATTTAATCAGTTCCTTTTTGCTGAAAACTTCTGCTGTTGCTGCTCATACCTACTGTGGGGTTTTCCATGAAATGGCTTCCTTTTCATGGGCTTTTAAAACAGCCTTTTTCATGAATGCACTTTGATTCTATAAAGTTGAACCCGCAGTAAGCTATACGATATAAAATAAATAGCTAAGATATACATAAATTGAGATACTGAAAAGTTGCGGATTATTACAATAGCCTGTGTTGTTTTTGGTAGCTAATACAAAGCAAACCTGTGTTGCTCAATTTATTTTTTTTCTCACCAAATTGAACTAAATTTACAACAAGTCACAGCTACATTTTATCATCAGCATGTCATGGTACTTGTAAACATATGATACAATAGAGATAGCTGTTACAATGAAACTACATTATAGTAAGTAAAGACAGTAGAGCAGTGCAGTGCAATAAAAACCTTTTGGAGGTCTTACAATAGGAAATATGACATACACTCAGTTACCAGCTTACTGGGTAGACACACTGTTACTAATTCAGGCTAATGCGACCGTGTTGTATTAGACTGCATTTTTAAACTGCCAAATGAGAGTAGAACTGTAAAGTCACTTGGGATATTTACTAAGGTCTTGCCGCTCATTTTTGGTGCTAAACAATTGCTTGAAATTGCCTGTGTTCATATTTACTAAGCAGTTGCTGTGGTGTTTTGCAGTGGAGAAACAAGAAATGTGGCACTGCAGGAATTTGCACATCTGGTCTCAAGCCATATGAATTTTAAATGATTCTCATTTTAAATGGACTGTATTTTATATAGCACTTTTCGCACAGTGTATTACACTGGCCAAAGCGCTTTATAGGAGATCATACACCATTCACACACCGGCGCTAGTCAAGCCACCGGGAGCAATTCGGGGTTCAGTGTCTTGCTCAGGGACACTTAGGCATGCAGGGAGACTGAGAGTCGAACCACCAACTTGCTGGTCAAGAGACGACTGCCCTACACTCGTGAGCCACAGCCACCCCATTTTAGGGGAAGAATGGAAATTTATACAAATACCCTCAGCGCCTGATTTATCACGGCTGTGACAGAGGAAAATGTGGCTGAAATTTAACGTCAGGAGAAATCAGGTGTAAAGTTTGGGCCCCTGCTCACAGCATGGCAGCTGTTAGTTAGCTGAGACACTGTCAGAGTTATTAACATGACTGAAGAGGAATAGGGCATTTGCAAATCACATCGCTCACCAGAGGAGAATGTGAGGGACCTTTACAGGCTCTCAGGTAAAACCATGCTTCAATTACTGAATGAAATAAAAGACGATTTTACTGGCAGGAGACTATGTGACTGCCATTCCAAAACATGTTTGCTGATTTCTTCAACTATATTAAAGATTGGTCGCTGTAAACTTAGACTTTCTTCTGCACTCACTATCGGTCCACATGTGCAGCCTTCAGGCAGCAGATCCAAAGTGGAGGTGTATTAAGATTACCACAGCTGCAGCTGTGCTCATTTACATCACCAGTGTTGGTAAATATGCTGCTAAATTGTAAAATTGTGGCATTGCAATACTTTCCCCGCCTGACAGTAATTTGCGACAGGTTTAGTAAATATCCCTTAGCATCTTCAGTTACAAAGAGTTTCTACAATTTCACATATAATTTTTATTTACTAGAAATGATAACTTTATAATTATTTGTGTAAAGGATAATTCTACGATTTTCAATGTAGCTCCTGTTTTGGAATAAGAGTGGCTGAAGCAACACTGCCTTCAGTGTAAAAAGGCCAAAACATTTTAGAGAAGTAACAACATCAGAACTGACTGCATAATGCTCAGAATAAAGTAATGAGGCTCAGGTTGAAGTGAACTGTTTACCTTTAAAAGACACAACAAAGAGTATAGTCACTACTTGACAGAGACAGTCACATGACGTCCTGTACATACATGCAAAACATATATTTATACAGAGAAATCAGAATAATACTATAGCTTAACTACCACATGCATATATTTTACCAACTTCAATAAAATTATCATTCGACAACTTAAAATACGACACTGAAATGCACAACACACTTCTTCACATTCTTGAATAAATACTTCCATTACTTTTTTAATATTCAAAAATGCTGTTAAAAACAATTAAGAACAGTTACTACTGTATGGGATTTTATGGTTTTAATTTCTGCAACCAGCAAGACACTAAGATGATTTTAAAAATATTTTGGAATAAGGTGCTGTATACTGTATATGGTGCAAAAACAATGCTTCAAAATACAAAAGTGACACAACATTATACTGTATATACAGTAACTATATGTACACTTAATTCAAGTAGTGAAAAATGGGAACACTCAAGAATACACCCTGTACAGTAACGTTTTCTCTCCCTTTATTTGTGGTCACGTCTGTGCTGAGTCAGAAGGGACAATATGTGTGTGTGTGTGTGTGCGTGTGTGTGTGTGTGTGTGTGTGTATACAACAAAACCAAGCACACCCCAGTTAGTAAAATGTTACTGTCACTAAAATGTTAAGTAATCACAAATCCTGTCCATTTAATGTAATTTTATTAGAGTATAAGATTTTAGGCAAAGCCCAGAAGAATGAAGCCAATTAATTTTAAAAAACTGAAAAATGTAACAAATTCAGTCCACCTTTATTTTTTAATTCCTGATTTGATCGTCTTGGGCTTGGATACCAGCCTTGTATGAATTTGTGGAGAAACATTCTGCCATTCCTCACAGATGATTCTTTTCATCTGCTCTTTGCTGGAGGGTTTTTCTTGTTATGCCGTCAGCTTTAAAGTAAAAGTGTTGTATTATTTAAAAAAGTGTAATAATTGCATTGTGTTTGGGATCATTGTCGCGTGGTGGCGAGTGTTCTCTTTTACACCTCACTCTGTTGGAGGAGCAGCATGAAAGATAAGGACACCAGACAGCTGGCTGGTAGAGGAGGCTATATCAGCTGTTAGGAGGCAGCCGGACTCACGGAGTGCTGTGGTGGAGAGATGCCTACAGAGGAAGCAGTGGACGACTCATCTCTCTGTGCTGCAGAACTGACCAGTTTGTAAGATCGTTTCTTGCTGCTGCCATCAGGTCACTATCTGTGAGAACTGTGTAAGAGTGGACACTGTAGTTATGAATAGGGGCTGTGCAATAATACTATTTGTACATTTTAAAGAATTTTATAGTGTATTAGATTTTAGAATATCTTTTATGTCTGTTTATTGTGTGATCTGTGTGGAAGCTACAGGGTGTTTGAATTGCCCCATGGGGGATGACTAAAGTATCTATTTATCTATCTATCTTGTACTGACTTCCATTTTTACAGTGTCTCACAATCTGGTTTCTTACTTGTTCAGGCAATTCCTTACCATGTGGAACTGAACTGAGGTAACTGCAGTATTCAAAGGTTATTGCATAACCTTGTTTATACAATTTTCCTCAACTGAAAGTCACAGGTGCACCCATTTTTGTTGCAGTGATCACAGATAAACTCAATTGTGTTGCAGTGGTCACAGGTGTAAACATGACACAGGCTAATGTGTTATCTGGTGCATATTCAACACTTAACAGAGAGTTAAATTAATATGCAGTGCAGGACAACAGGATACTGAAAGAAACAACAATGCCAACAGCTAAAACTACCCTAATTTAAGATTACTCATATACAAGACTTTAAAACAACATCACAGAACAGTAAAACAAGGACTGACTGCACTTCACTGTGCAGCTTCATTAATTTTTACTTTCACTTGGATGTAAATGTAAAATTGATGCATCAGTCCCTAATGGAGTAATTCACTTTCAATCTGTGCATTCTCCAGAAGTCTGTTTATTGAAAGTGTATAGTGGATTTCGCCTCTGGCTCATCACTAGTAACCAGGAAACATGGCCGTTACAACAGTTACATAATTGAAAGCCAAATTCAATTTCAATACTTTCAGAGCCAAACTTAGAAGCACATATGGAGCCAAACAGAGTTCAATCAACAGCCATTCCATTGGTGACTCTCTGCAGCCTCAGGCTTCAGAGGGAAATAATGCAGAGTTCATTCTCTGTGCCAAATAAGGGTCACAGTTTATATATGAAAATAAAAACTGTGAAATACTTACATAGTTACAAGCACAATTACAGTTCATACTGTGTGATTAATATTTTCATTGTGACAGGGTCTTGCCATTCTAGAATATATTTTCATAACTTATCTTCAATCACAACTGATTAATTTCATTATCTATCAATTGAACCGTGGGATTGAGACATTACCAAGACACCATGGCGCTGCCTGTTTTTAAATGCTAATCGCAATCAGAGGTGAACGTTTAATTGAAGAAGAAGGACACAGAGGAACTCTGATTGGAAAAGAGGAAATCTTAAACGTTATCACTCCATGGGGAAGTGCTGGAAATGTGCATGATACTGTACAAAGCCAGCACTGTTTACTTCATATGTTGTTAAGGCTACATTTGAGCATTAACAGATTATGAGACAACAGACGCATAGGCACAGACAAAGGTCCCCCTTCTTACCTACCAAATAATGAACTTCGGTAACATGTACACTGAAGACTCTTTGTCACAGATTCCTCATTTGCAACACTTCCATGTACTGAAAAGGGGTTTTCCCATTATAGGAACCTACTGAAATGTGTTGGGCTGAGTAATGAGCCTGATGAATATAACGAGCCAAAATAAAAAAGAGTAGGATCTCATACTTTTGACTGGATTAACCTTCACTTCAAACAGAGGTGCTGGTCTTGTTGCCTTTGCCTAGACGGCTTGTTCAGTAATCCATCCATGCTCTTAAACAATCTATATTATCATCATGATAATATATTCAAAAATCTCTATATCCAGTTGTTCATTTTCTGCACATTAACCACTTCAGTCTTGATACACTGCTTCTAAATTAAGCAAACACCACATACAATGTTTATATGTACTGCATGTTATATGTGTGTATAAACCTGTTTACATGCATGTGTCTCATCACCTCCAAGTCATGGTTCTCTGCCATAGGATTGCTCCTTTCAGGTTAGGAGCAAGTTGCTGCCCCAAACAAAGGAGTTTAATTATCTCTAGGTCTTGTTCATGAGGGAGCATCAAATGGAGTGTGGCACTGACCGGTGGTTCGGTGCTGCAGCAGCAGTAATATGGGTGATGTCTAGACTTTTGTGGTGATGAGGGCGCTGAGCTGGAAGGCAAAACTATTGATTTACCAGCCAATCTAATGCTCCAGCCCTCACCTATGGACATAGTGACTGATAAAATGAAATTACAAATACAAGCAGCTAAAATGAGTTTCCACCATAAGGTGGATGGACTCAGCCTTACAAATAAGGTGCAGAGTTCAGACAGGCAGCATGAAGTAGAACAGTTGCTCCTTCACATTGAATGGAGGCAGCTGATGTGGTTCAAGCATCTGATCAGGATGCCTCCTGGGTGCCTTCCATCAGAGGCTCCCAGTCTGTTCAACTGGCATTAGACCCCTGGGGTAGAACCAGAATATACTAGAGGGATTATATCGCTCATCTAGCCTGGGGCTGCCTCAGGGTCTCCCAGCAAGAGCTGGAGAATGTTGCTGAGAAAAGGGATGTCTGGACCGCCCTACTGAACATCCAGCCCCCACAACCTGACCCCAGATAAGCAGATGATAATGAATAGATAGATGGTTGTACATGTCTGTGTGTAAGTAATATGTTGTATGCATGTCTATGGAAATGCTGTTCAAGAGAAATCCTCGGGTTGCATGTTTGGAACGCCTCCATTTTGTGTTTTTGCACTGTCACCATTGCACCCAATGATCTCCGTATGGCGAGATGTGATATAGCTTCTCTTCCTTGCAGACAGAGAGTGCTTCCTTGCAGAGCCACCTCCGACACTGCCATTGCCCTCGGCAGGGTCATAAACCACCAGCATGGTGGTATCCATTCGTGTCAGCGTGTACATGCTGCTCTGGCGTGCTGGGTGCAGCCGTGTAGAGCGAAGTTCCAACTCATCGTAGCTGGACACTTTGATGAATGGACACCAACGAAACGCTCGCTTGAAACCAGCTCGAAATCTGGTATCACATCAAGAGGGAGACGGGAAGAGTTGGCAAACATAGGACAGGCAGGTGTAGGAAAGTCAAATGAAAGTACAGTTCATTTTTTTCAGCTAGGTACTTTTAAATGATCAGTGCACTCACAATTTAGCACTTTGAGATACGTATATACGACTGCTGCATGATTCTTGCATGTTTTCCTAAAGGCAGCATGAACTGTGTTCAGTACTGTACCAAAGGTTGAGTCTTCAGCTGAGAAGAGCTTATTTTCAGGTGCCTCTGCGGCTTTTAAAAAGGCAGTCAATGATATGGGTAAATGTTTGTGCAGTGATAAGAAACAGGTCAATTTGCGTGGGAGTATAGTATTTATAATGAGAGTAAGCCAACAGTACTTGAGATGCTGACTGTGATCCTTTTCTGAATGCAGTCAGGCTGCATTCATTGATCCCTAAACAGCTTTAAATGCTTGAATCACTGACTATTCACCAAAAAGAAACCCATTATCTACTGCAAGATTCTTAAGAAATTCAGTTTATAAAAACCCATAATTTAACTATCATATATACATTTTATTTAAAAAAAACTGTTATTTAAAAGACTATTTTTGGTCTAATGGCTTATAATACAACAATTTTCTTTGCCCTATTATAAAATTAAATGTTTAAACTGATTATTTCTGCTTAGACTTAATACACCCCAGATGATTTGGCCACACCCTGTAAAATAAGGAAATTTATTTTTTCTAACCATTACAAGATAAGGACACCCACTTTATATAGTTTTTCTTCCATATTTTGTAATTAATAAAGCCAAGCCTAACATTTTTCTGCATCCTCTAGTATTGGATTAGTACTTTTGTTGTCTCGTGTAGTAACAATGTTAAAGTATGAATTTTTCAGCTGTCATACTTTGTTTTTAAATTTGTCATCATTACCCTGCTGTTACCCACCTGCTGTTGAGGCAGCAGTAGATGATGGGGTTGTACATGGTGGAGCTCATTGCCAGCCACAACACTGACAGGTAGACCTGCTGGATGTACTTCCACCTACTCAGACGCTTGTTGAGCCCCGTCACAATGAAGTAGACGTGATAGGGCAGCCAGCAGAGGGCAAAGGTCACCACTACGATGATCATCATCTTCACCACCTGCAAGAAAAGAGAGAAAAATGAGAAGAAACACTCACAAGCTCTCTACTGTTACACTGCAGGACTGACAAAATAAAGGACCACACATATAAACAGTGAGCAAATCAGAGAAAGTTATACAGGAAAGAAAAGTTTCAATCTCTCTGTTATAATGAACTGGATGGAACGCTGTGGGTTATCTCTGGGAGGTAACTGGGAACTCAATCCATAATAATGTGTGACACCTCAGAGACAACCTGGACAGGCACACTAGTGGAGACAAAACAGACGCCAACAGAGTGCCTGCTGAAATTTAAACAGAAGTCCTGGCCCCCCCTTGTTTTGAGTTTATATTTCAAAGAGAGGTTTATGGCATAACACATATCAAATTATAAACTGTGTTCTGTGGCTGCTAAACTGTGGTTAACCTTTTTTTGTTGTTGATGACAGTGTGAAATGAAAACCTTATTTCTCTTTACTAACACGCAGCTCGCACAACAGTTCCTCTCGCATGCAAAATGCACTATTGCTACCAGAACACTACGTCCACATCTCGGGATCAACTCCGTTGCCAGAAAACTGACAGCATTTGTCAGACTTTCCTAAAACAACTTGAACAACAGACATCATTAAAATATGGCTCACAAATGTTATTGGCATAGCTTTTATTTTGCATTTGCATTTATTTGGCATAAGTCAAATTCCATCAACAGTGACATTTCTTTACTGTACAAACTGTGCTATCTTATATTAAAATGTGTCAGAGAAGTTAATCAGAAATACTGCATCGGTAGGTATTTAGCCAATAGTTCTCTGTTCAATACAATGTTTTATGTACGGACATAAGGCATTCACTCTGTCCAAGAGACCCCTCTGGTCCTGTGGCTGGTGATCATAAACCTTCCACCTTCACGAGGGAAAGAATTTCTCCATGGAGTTGTGGAATGGAGAGTAAGGTGGAAGGAAAAATGGCACCATCACAGGAGCGTCTGTAAACCATTCTGTAACTGGACAAGAAGGGGGAACCACCACACTGTCCCATATAATTACACAACATGCTTGCGCAAGCCTTTCACAGTGGCACACAATGGCAAGAATTGCTTAGCGCTGTACAGCTCTATTAGGAGTTAATGCTATTTTATTTATTTGAAAGTATATTTAGATGTAGCAGAATGTGACTTTTGTAGAGGACTTTTCATATGAATACATGTTTGGTTTTCTATGACAGACAGAACCATTGTTGGAAATCTCATTATACTATTGGTTTCTTGTTAATTCACTTTTACTGGTTAAGGTGTCCAGTGAAAAAGACAGGCAGTCTCTCAGTGGGCTAAATATGCACGGTAAATACATTTAAGGAGCAGAAACTAATTTGCTAAGTGACTTTGGGTCTTGTTTAAACTGTCCATATTTGGATAACTCAATAAATCCATTGAACTTATTGTATGAATACACACAAGACAGGTTTTATAAGGCTCACTTTTGAAACATTTAAAGTATGTGTCTGCTTTTTTCCCCAGTTTTTTTTTTTTTTTTTACTGGAAACTGTTTTGTCCGGCTTGTTTTGGCATACAGTAAACTTTAATAACAATGTGTCCCATGTTAATAGATAGTGAAATTGTTCAAAACTGTACAGAAAAAGAGAACTACCTTCTTATTCTGAGCATACTGTATGTTAGTGTCCTAAATAAATGTGATTGTCTCTGTGTTATCATCCGGACACTGCCATTTGAAATAGTCCACATGGGAACAAGTAGACAGTCTTTCTTTTGACTTTTAAACCTACATTCAGTGACACCTATCTCTACAACATTATGAAAAAATGGTCAGGTGAGTCAGTGAAGTCTTGAAAATGTCATAGCAAAGGAAGAATATATGTCATTCTATACTCTACTGTAAAATCCAGTCTGTAAAATGGTGTTGTGCATGATAGAAAGACTTCATATCCTCTTCCTCACACACCTACAGTACAGAAACAAAATCTATGAAGCACATGAGGTTAAGGCGAGGTCATGCATTGGTTTACAGAAACATTACTAGACTTGCTTTAGGTATGTGAGCACATCTAAAAATCTACAAAACCTCTGCATCCCAGCTGCATAATGCATAGTGAGAATGTCAAGCAATGTCTTCATTTTTGTATTATAATGTCGAATACTTTTGAATGGTAGGAACAGTGTGTTTTATAGATCCAAAAAGCACAGAACATGTGTGGGCTTCTTTCAAATAAAAGCAACAATTTGTTTACATGTCAGTTATTCTACAGTATGACAGACTTTCTGTCTGAACCCAACCCTTAACTGAGAGTGTGGCAGAGTGTGAATGCAAACCAAGCCCGGCGCAGTTGAGGTTGTGCTGTGTTTTTCCCCTTATCATTAAATGAGGCAGACATTAGAGTGCTCCAGCTGTCTAGCCTAAAGTTTGACCTACGTGTCCAAACTGGACCCAGACCTGAATACAGTTTCCAAATGTCTGCCCATACCCTCAGGTACCAATGAATCCTGTCAGGCTCTGTTCGGGTAGCCACACTCTACAGACTTGTACTGTCTTTAAATTATACTGGGACAGTGGGACATGTAAGTGACTTTTACGGGGCTTAAGCAGAGAAGCATACATAAAGAAACACAAACACAGAAGTCACTCTTGTGAAATTGCATCATGATTTCCAGTGAAATTTTGAATCAGTTTTTTAATAGCTTCTTCTCACAAACACAATTCTTAATATTCTGGTGTAGTACTGTATGCTATGTTATTGAGGTAATTGTCAGTCACAACTTTCCAAATAACTCAGGTCAAACGGTGACCCCTTTTAAAAATGTCAAGTGTCAGCTTCATAACTGGCAAAGCATCTTTTTTGTTTTTATGCTCCTGCTCTACCTGTCAGAGAATCTGTATGTGCTCCATCAACTGAACAAAACAAAAGAAAACACAACAAAAAGCTTTTTACTGAGCAGACTTTTGCCTTTTTATGGTCAGTTATGTCTGTTAATATATTTTGTGATTTTGTCTCCTCATATGCTTTATTTATATATTTATACATTTATACTTTGACATTCTAACAAATTGATCTGTCTCAGTATGTGCCAGGCAAATAGCTACAAGGTTAAAAAGGCGATACTGACCTTAGTTTAAAAGCATGCTCCATATGGTTCCTTTAATAAAAGGAATGGAAGCCAATATGAACAAAATTCAACTGAAGGTGTTCTAGCAGTACCTTTTTTTTCAAATGATGATTAGTGATGATCACCCTCACTTTGTGATGAGGAAAATTAAATAGATAAATAAAAAAAACAATAATGAATAATGTGCTACATGGGAATATGTGACAATTGTTGCTTTGAAGCACATGTTGCAGCGTTTGTAGTAAATGGACAAGACTTTTTTTCCACTCGCTAGAAAACTGCTTTTATTTACAGAAAATTGCTTTAACATCTACACCTTTAAGTGTACAAAGTATGTACACTTAAAAAAAACTTTCACACTGAGACTACTGATTGGATTTGTTCTGTTCTGTCATCAAACTGAGCCATAGTTGGAGGAGCC